TGGTTGGAATGTTTATATCTTGGAAATCAGAAAGTGCTAAAAATCAGGTATCAGCACACCATTGACCATGTCTTAATTTTGCATCAACAAAGTATTACCTGTAGTAGGAAATCTCTTCTCTCACTGCATATAACTTATTGGACTTTAAATTGCATCATGGTGTGCCAGTTATGTATACCATGACTATATTTTCAGAGCAAAGTATCAGGACATACATTATCTGACAAGGATATAGGGGCAAAAGGAAAGAATACTTAAAGTCAGACAACTTCCATCCCCAACAATATAGCACCATAATTGAATGTTATCACTACCACGCTCTGACCAACAGAGGCTGAAAGACCACCTGTCATGGATATCAAAAAGGACTGCCTGTAAGGGGTGGGAAATGAGACGTAAAGACTTTTCAAGTCTTATGCATAAACTCAAAAATTTAGAACCAGAAGAGAAACTCTGAGGAAATACTTTGGCATGCCAATGATAACATTTTTTTATTCCAGCAAACAGCAACATCAAAAAGGTCTTCTCAGGTGCTTGGAGGTGGTTTAGAATGCTTGGCAAAAATGAAACCACTGAGCACTCAGAACTATGTATAAGATTTCCATGAATAGTTACCACTCTAAGTACCCAAGAGAGTGGGCACAAAGGCATGTCCTGACCTTGGTGGTATAGTAACTCACAACCACCTAAATTTGCTGGGAGAAAATGTTCTCATTCTCTAAACTATTTGAGTAAAATACCAACCAATTAGATAAAAGGCAAGCCTAATAAGACTGCAACGTTTTCATTGACATAGATATATAGGGTGCGTGTGTAAAAGTGGTTTTTATTCAACACAGGCACCTGTGGAGGACCTATTATGATATCGCCAACGTTGAATTTGAATTAATTGCTTCATTCTGGCCATTGCTGCCAGCTGACCTTCAAGCTGCCTATGAGAACCCCAAAGATAAGATCCTGATTTTTAAAGGTAACCTTGCCCATCATGATTCCTCTTCTCCTTCTGGAGGCCTGAACTGGCCAGTGGGTATTTTGGTTAAAGAATATAATCTTCATGCATGAACCAAATGGACAGAGCTTCTGCCCTGATCTTAGGTTCCCGTCATAAAGAATAACTATCCAGGGATTCTCTGTGGCTGTGAAGATAAACACAATCCCAATTGCACAGGGACTAAAAGAAGTTTTTATGATTAAAAGTAAAAAAGTCTTTTTTTTTCTGCCAAATAAAAGTAATCTATCTGTTTTATATTCCCTTCTTACTAGGGTTGCCATATTTGGCAAATAAGAATATAGGATGCAATTGAGTTTTAGATACACAACAAATAATTTTTAGTATATGTATTCTCCTTGCAATATTTTGGATATGCTTATATCAAAAATTTGTCATTGTTTATTTAAAATTCAAATTTTACTGGTATCTTATATTTAACCCAGCAACCATACTTTTTATATGGGGGCTGAGATTTAGAACATGTACAAACATACTTGATAGTTATGACAGAGTTAGCCAATTAAAAGCAATCAGTACACTGAAACCAACTTGCAAGGGTATGCTCATTATTGACTACAGTCATATATTATTTGTGTAATATTATTTATATAAGCAGCTAAAGAAAGTGATAAGAATAAATGAAGACATAAGATTACTAAATCTCTAAGCACCGAAGCTGAGGTTTCCAGTCATATAATTATTTTTGAGCTTTTTAAGACATCTATCTCTCTCTCTAGGAAACAGATCAGAAGATAATCATTTTCTCTCTTCCTAGATGAAAATTTCTGGATGATCAGAGGATATGCTGTTCTGCCAGATTATCCCAAATCCATTCATATACTTGGCTTTCCAAGATCCGTAAAGAAAATTGATGCAGCTGTCTGTGACCAAAACACGAGAAAAACCTACTTTTTTGTGGGCATTTGGTGCTGGAGGTAAGTTTAAGACAATTGACCCTTCATTTTATTATGGCAGAAAATATCCACAATAGCATAACTTTGACACAGACAAAAATAAGATGAATCTGTAGTCTTCTTAAAGTGAATTATGTCAAAGGCAATTACTGGTGGAGGACATGGACCAAACCAAAGATATTTCAATTAGTCCAGTGATCTTTCTCCAACTTAAAAAATAAAGATGGGGCCGGCCCGGTGGCGCACTGCTACAGTGCGCCACTTGGGAGCACGGCGGCGCTCCCGCCGAGGGCTTGGATCCCACATACAGACCGGCCGCTCACTGGCTGAGCGAGGTGCGGGCGCAACACCGAGGGTTGCAATCCGTTGCCAGTCACGAAAAAAGACAAAAAGGAAAAAAAATAATAATAATAAAATAAATAAATAAATAAAGATAAGATAAAATAATAAAGCTGGTGATGCCTACTAATTGCCAACAACACAAACATATCCAATCAAAATTTATAAAAGCTTTAAGTTGAGCCCTCAGTTTGATTTAACAATTCCTCAGAATAGCATCAATCTAACAAATGATGTAACCTTTTCCTCTTATCATTTGTTTTCAAGATGCTAAAAATGATTCAACCAAACATAATCTTTACCATATTTTTTTTAGTTTATTTATTTATTATTTTTTACATTCTATGATGTCATTGTGGAGCAGTTGGGGAGGAAGGGGAGTGGGAAAGGAGGAAGCAAATAGGGCGGGAGAGGAGGAAGGAGGAGGGGTAGGGTTGAGGCCTGTGACACCCCCTCATCCCTGCAGGGGAGACCAGGGGGCTTCCAGTGGTGGCTGGGCTGGATGTGAAGCAAATAGGGCGGGAGAGGAGGAAGGAGGAGGGGTAGGGTTGAGGCCTGTGACACCCCCCTCATCCCTTCAGGGGAGACCAGGGGTCTTCCAGTGGTGGCTTAGTCATTGCTGGGCTGGATGCAGATGTCAAGGGGTGTGGCTGAAGCCCTTGCCCCCCACCATCCCAGCTCAGGAACACAGGGAGCTTCTTGCAGCAGCTCGGTGGTCATTGCTGGGCTGGTTGCAGGTGTTGGGGGGGCATGGCCAAGGCCCAAGGCCCCCCACTGCCCTGGCTCAGGAGAGCCCAGGGTGCTTCCTGCGGTGGTTCGGTGGTCGTCACTGTGCTGGTTACAGGTGTTGATATTTTTTATTATTGATCCAATTAGTTCTCTACTAAGCCTACTTACCCCCCACATCTCTGCTTGACTCTAAGTTGGGCAGTAGAAGAATTAAGCTCCCTGAAACAAACATCCACTCAAAACCTTTTAAACCCATGTATGCAGGTATGACGAGATTACCCAAACCATGGACAAAAGTTACCCACAGAGGGTGGTAAAACACTTTCCAGGAATTGGTCTCCGTGTTGATGCTGCTTTCCAGTATAAAGGTGAATGTCAAAGCATAAACTATTAGGATACTTGGGAGACTGCATTGACTGAAAGAAGTCACAAAAACTTCAAAGTTTTGATTTTAATGTAATTCTACTCTTAAATACATAAAATAATAAACATTAACACTGCAGGCATTATCACAAACTGAATCAGTAAGTCCTGAATTATACTCTCTGTTATATTATTTCAAATCTATGTAAAAAGAACCAAAATTAGTTTTACTCATTATTGAACCAAGAGATCCCCTAACAGACACCTCCCAAAGTGTGAAAAATGTCTAAGCACATGAACTGAACAATGATTCTGAAACTCTAATGTATGTAGTTTAATATACATAGCGTGGGAGTCATGTATGAAAACTACAAATTTCAAAGTATCTGAAACAGTAGGATTGTGGGTGAGACTCAGGAATCTGTAGTTTTAAAAGAACCTCAGGCAATTTAATGCACACAGTCCAACTACTATACTTTCAAAGACAACCACCTAGACCATGAAATAATCAGGAGTCTAAAAATGTTGAGTGACACAATCTAATATCACAATAATATCTAACACATATCCTCAAAACCTAAAACAGATAAAAGTAGAACAGCTCTAAGAGAATGAGGATGTATGGCCCAAAGCGATACCCGCAGGGGCTTTTGTCTCCCCCTCACTGAGACACTTTGTTGAAACCCAGTTTGAGAACCTCTGGTATAGACCACAGTCTGCCAGAAAGGTAATAAGTCTCTTGAAACTCATACTTCATACCTTGGCTTCATCCTCAGGAAAATAAAAATAACAAGATTTCCTACATGACAGTAAAAAAGTAAAACCTATCCACGTAATTCTGCAAGTCTCTTTGCTCTCCATAACGTTAATTTATTTTATTCTATATTCATAAAATTAAAAAGTATGAAACCATTATGTAGTTATGCAAGATATTTAATCATGATTCTCTGTCTCTAGGATTCTTCTATTTCTCCCGTGGATCAAAGCAATTCGAATATGACATTAAGGCAAAGAACATTACCCGAATAACAAGAACCAATACTTGGTTTCAGTGTAAAGGACCATTTAACTCATCATTTGATTTTAGTATTAACAAGGAAAAAGTACATTCAGGAGGAGTGGAGATATTGTATCATAAGAGTTTAAGTTTGCTTATTTTTAGTATCGTTAATCTGCTGAAAAAATTTTATAGTTATTAATAAATTCATAGACTTAAAACAAACTTCAAGAGGACTTTTCATCTGAACTCTGCCTCAGGGTAAAACAAAACCAATCTTTAACATCAGGTTGCCAGTCCTACTGGGTAAAGATTCAACAGCCATTCTGAGCTGCCTGATTCTTTTAATAGGAAGTTATTATGTATAAACAAAATCTCTGACTGTGTTTTAAGCCTATTTCATGCTTTGTAGATTTGGAAAAGTAAGACATGTCTTATAACTGAATACTGAAGACATTTATTAAACCAATCTTTAGCATTCTATTTTGTCTGGACCTTTGGTGTTTGAGAGGCCTGATAAACTGCATCCCTCATCCCTATGCATGCTCTGAACTCACCAATCGAATGAGTTATTCCACCTCCCAAAGAGAAGGGTGGGAGCCTGAATAGACGGGGGTATGTTACACCAGAGGTGACCCTCCAATAATTAAGGAACTAGCAGGAGTAGGAAAGAAGTGTTCTACCTAGACTCCCAAACGCTGGCCAATGCATTTAACCATTCCCTATAGAGTACAAAATCGAGTTTTGCACACACTGATTTCATACACAAGAAATGCAGAGATTTCCTCCCTGTGTCTAAGATACATGGGCATCACCAGAGCCTATGGAGTAGTAAGTTTCATCCTCTTTGCTGTACCATGTATTTGTTGAGTTCTAAACTCTTAATATTAGATTTTATCTTTATATTCTCAAAGCTAAATGCTTAGCAAAGCTCATTAGCAAATTTCTGATGCAGAAGATGGAGACTGTCCATTGAATTTGATTCCGATGAGGTGATATATTGAGCATGTGTCAACTGATAGAAAATAATCATAGAATATCTCACAAATTCCTACAGCTGGTCCCCCTCCCACATTTTTCCCTTGAGTTCAGCATTCCCTTATTTCTAAAAGAAAGGGATATATAAGAGAGTTACTGCATGTTTGAAACAGAAAGTAATTGCTAAGAAGTACAGATTAATACTAAGCATGTAGCAAATAATACTCTTTGTGGAAAACAGTGCTATAATAATCAAATATATGTATGTGTAAAAAAGAACCTTGATCCGTACATTACACTCTTCACAAAAACTAATGAAAAATGGGCCATAAACCTCTAATTAGATTATAAAATTTCTAGAAGAAAATATATAATCAAAAAGACTGAGAATAACAAATGCTGGCAAGGGTGTGGAGAGAGGGAACTCTCCTACATTGTAGGTGGGACTGTAAGTTAGTACAACTGTTATGGAAAACAGTATGGAGGTTTCTCAAACAACTACAGATTGATCTACCATATGATCCAGCAATCCTACTTCTAAGTATATATCCAAAGGAATAGAAATCATCATGTCGAAGGGATACCTGCACTCCCGTGTCAATCACAGCTCTGTTTACAATAGCCAAGATACGGAGCCAACCTAAATGTCCACTGATGGATGACTGGATAAAGAAAATGAGGTATATATACATTATGGAATTCTCTTCAGCCATAAAAATGAATGAAAGTCTGCCATTCACAGCAAAATGGATGAGCTTGAAAATTATGTTAAGTGAAATAAGCCAGGCACAAGGTGAAAAATACCACGTCTTCACTCATAAGTGTAAGCTGAGAGAGAAAGAAGGAAAGAAAGAAAGACCACAGTGGTGTGCTGGATGGGATATCAGAGAGAGGTTGGGTGGGGGACATGGGGAATAATTGATATTCGTGGTAATGGGCATGCTGATAGTATTGATCTGATCATTACATCTTAGGTACAAGTGGTGATTATGCATACTCAATCCATGAATATGCATAATCAAAAAAATTCTAATTTTGCTTGCAAAAATTTATCTGTGTAAAATATATCCTAATTAAGTAATAATAAAAGCAAAGAAATTTTAAATTCAAAAAAATTTTGTGACTTTGCATTAAGCAAAGATTTCTTAGGTAGGACATAAAAACTATTAACCATTAAAAAAAATTAATGAGTGGGCCGGCCCGGTGGCGCACTGGATAAGTGCGCCGCTTGGGAAGCGCGGCGGCGCTCCCACCCGAGGGTTCGGATCCCACATACAGACCGGTTCCCGCTCACTGGCTGAGCGAGGCGCGGGAGCAACACCGAGGGTTGCAATCCCATTGCCGGTCCCCGGTCCGGTACGAGGGCAACACTGAGGGTTGCGATCCATTGCCGGACACGGAAAAAGACAAAAAAAAAAAAAAATTAATGAGTAAACATCATCAACATTTAAAACCTTTGCTTTCAACAAACAGTATTAAAAGAATGAAAAATTAAACCATACACTGGGAAAAATATTTTCAAAACATATATCTGATAAAGGACTTGTATCTTGAATATGTAAAGAATTCTTGTAACTCAAAAATAAAGAGACAAATAAAATTTGCTATATGAGTGGTAAATAAGTATATGAAGAGATGTTCAGCATCATTAACCACTAAGGAAATGCTAAACCACAATGAGATACCACTACATACCCACTAGAATGGTTAAAATTAAAAAGACTGAAAATACCAAGTGTTGGCAAGAATGAAGAGTCACTGGAACTCGCTTAGAGTGCTGGTGAGAATGAGAAATAATACAGCCACTTTGGAAAACAGTTTGGCAATTTCTTTTTTTCTTTTTTTAATTTTTATTGAATCATAATTGATCATACATATTTTGGGGGTTCAGTGTTGATATATGTTGATCGAATCAATATTACTAGCATACATATTGTTACAAATCATACTTATTCTTTATGCCCCTTGTCCAATCTCTTCCCATCCCCCTCTCCCTCCCCCTTCCCCGCCTCTAATTACCCTAGATTTCTTCTCTCCTTCTGAAAGACCAATTGTTACTCTGTTGATTTGTTGCCTAGATGATCTGTCCAGTGCTGTTCTGTTCCAATGGTCCAAGTGTTTTTATGCCAGTATCATGCTATTTTGGTTACTATAGCTTTTTAGTATAATTTGAAGTCAGGTAGTATAATGCCTCTGGCTTTTTGTTTGTTTCTTTGTTTTGTTTTGATCGGGAGTGCTTTGGCTATTCAGGGCCTTTTGCTGTTGAATGTCAGGTTTTGTTTTTGTGTTTTTGTTTTTTTTCTATTTCTTTGAAGAAGGTCATTGGTCATTGGTATTTTGATGGAGATTGCATTGAATCTGTAGATAATTTTGGGTAGTATGAACATTTTCACAATGTTAATTCTTCCAATCCAAGAGCATGGAATGTTTTTTTGTTCTGCTGTACCGTACATTTTTTTTTTTTTCTCTTTTTTCGTGTCCGGCAATGGATCGCAACCCTCAGTGTAGCGCCCATACCGGACCGGGACCGGAAACGGGATCGCAACCCTCGGTGCTGCGCCCGCACCTCGCTCAGCCAGTGAGCGGGAACCGGTCTGTATGTGGGATCCGAACCCTCGGCGGGAGCGCCACCACACTCCCAAGTGGCACACTGTAGCAGTGCGCCACCGGGCCGGCCTGAGCATGGAATGTTTTTAATCCTCTTTAATTTTGTATCCTCTTTAATTTCTCTTAGCAGTGATTTGTAGTTCTTGTAGTAGAGATCTTTCACCTCCTTGGTTAAATTGATTCCTAAGTTTTTTTTTTTTCTGACTATTGTAAGTGGACTTGCTTTCTTGATTTCTTTTACTTCTAGTTCATTATTGGAGTATAAAAAATGCTACTGCTGACTTTTGCATGCTGATTTTGTATCCTGCAACTTTACTGAAATCATGTATCAGCTCTAAGAGGTTTTTTGTGTTTTTTTTAGAGTTCAAGGACATGTATTTAGCAGAATGTGTGGGGTCAGGAGTGTGTGTCAGGTATGGTATACAGTTTGTCCCACTGTAACACCATTTCTGTACTCCCATTGAGCTCAGATGCATGTGATATGTTGGAGAAAGATTTATTTTAACACTGAGACTATATTGGTTCATAAACAATTTTTCCTAGGCAAGGGAAGCCCAGAGTAGCAGGAACAGAATTGTAACTTTGGGCTGGAGTGGAAAGAGTCCTTAATAAACTACTGCACAAGCAGGGCCTCTTCCAGGTAAGAGATGAGCACAGGTGCCAAGGGCTCCCTTGCCAGAGGGTGTGCCCCAGCCTTGCCCGGTCCTGCTCAGCTCTTACTCATGTGGCTGCACATTCACCAGGGCCCTCCTTTTTGGAAAAGTCCTTCCTTCACCTCTATCACCTGGACTTCCTCAAGCCAGCATTTCTACCCATCTGCTTTTCTGAATTTTTTGTAACCTTTAGTCAATCTCCAGACTTACTGGGCTGTCCCCAAAGTAACAATGACTCTGGTGGTAAGGGGCATATGCTGTTGTTGTTGTTGTTTTAGTGAATCATAATTGATATTGATTATACATATTTTGTGGGTTCAATGTTGATATATGTTGATCAAATCAATATTACTAGCATGTATATTGTTACAAATTGTACTTATTCTTTATGCCCCTTGTCCAATCTCTCCCTATCCCCCTCTGCTTCCCCACTCCCACCACTGATAACCCTAGATTTCTTCTCTCTCTCTGATAGAGTAATGGTTACTCTGTTGATTTTTTGCCTAGATGACCTGCCCAATGCTGAAAGGTGTGTTCAGGTGTGCTCAGGTCCCCCAATATTATCATAAAGCAGCTGCTTCTTCTGTCACTCTGGAATTGGCTTTGTGGAAAGAGACATCCTTTTCTTTTCTTTGGTCTCTGCTGGTGACTCTCCTTGTGTCAATGCACTCCAGTGGCTGGCTTACCATCCGCATGGTGGTTGTGGCATCTAGTGTGGCATCTAGTTTGGCATCACAGCAGCTGTGGTTATTGTCACGGCTGTGGTGGGCCACCCACATGGAGGTGATGTTTTTCACATTCTCCTTGGTGCTTGTGGTGTGCCTGGTTGTGGGGGGGTCTGGTCCCTGGCTCCAAGCCTCAGGTCCCCTGTGGGGCCCTGAGGTGATGGTGGTGTGCCTGGACTGGAACTAATTTTTTGTCCTTTGCTTATTTCTAAAATGGGGAAACTTCCTATGGGAACCAG